GTGCTGAACGTGTTACCTGTTTCAGGTGAAGGGCAGCCTGATGAGTCAGATGGCTGGTCCAAAGACAAACAGGAAGTTGACAGTGGCGCAATGGCCTCCAGTTCATCAAACACACGAGACTGACTGCAGCTGATCTCAGAGCAGCGAGATGCTGCTGAGCGCCCTGCAACAGCACAGAGTGGGTGTTTAATATTATGGCGATAATACAGATGATGATGATGATGATGAAGCTGAGGATAAGGATTAAATGTATTTTTAATGATATGTGTGGGCACAGTGGATTGTTGCATTTGAAAGGTATTAGGACACAGTACAGTGCATGGAAACAATAGAAAATGTAAGCGCCAAATAACACGACTGCATATTATTTTTATTTTACCATGTTTCAATTTACATTTTCTTACTCTGTGAAACAACTTTTTGAAGTAAAATGTTTTGATTTTTCCAAGGCAGGAGTTAAATCTATATTTATGTTCTGCTGCTAGAAGATTTTCTTTTTTTTAATTATTTAAGCTATGTCCATTAGCTATATATAAAGCTACAGTTAGCTCAGCTTGCTAGTGTGGCACATAATAACCCAACCCTGTTTTTGTATGGGCATAACATTTTTTTTACACTTATATCATAGCTATATTGTGTACATTAAACAAGGTGTAATGTGCAATTGAATGCACTCTAGAGCACTAGCAGGCACACTAAATAAGGCTAGGTTAGCTGTTTTATACTAGCTAACTTCTGATTATTAGAAAACTCTGCTGATTACCAAGTGGTTGTTGGAAGTTGCGAGGTAAAATTGGTAGTAGTGGTATATAACCAGCTGTAGCCTGCCGACAACTCTCTAAGTAGTAGTGAAACTGAGACCATGTCCCCTCAAAGTAAAAGGTGAGTTGCAGTGTAATGCAAACTTTTTGTTTGTAGGTGAACGGTGTCCATTTACAGTCTGGTTTGTAATTTTTCGAGACAAAATATAGTCCATGCAAACTATGGGCAAAGCAGTAATCTGCCAGCGACAAGAGCAATTGTTGGGCTCAGCTTCACCTACCAAAAGCCAGCAACCACTTACTAAGCAGTTGAAGCAGATACATTTCAATGGGTCACTGGCTGGTCTCTAGGCCTTTGTGACTGGAACATTAAATGTACCTTAGATTTTTTCATTAGTACTTTAAAAAAAACCTGACTGATTCCCACATAAACTATCACAAAATCCTTTAAATATTAATAAAAGATTGCTATATAATTTTAAAGGATAATAATGAGAACACCAAAGAGAAAGGAAAACAAAAGTCAGACTACATAGCTTCTCTTGGCTGGATGTAGTCAGCTATATTGATGCTCACCCCTCAAGGAGGGGGACTCTGACAAGTGGGCAAAACACAATACAGGACATCCACAAGTGAAGCCCCTCAGGTGAGGCTTCAGGGTAAAAGTACTCTCAACTCACCTACACTAAACAGAGCAGGAAAATCTTCCCTTAAGCCCACAGAGCCCACTTTGAGGAATGTTAAAAACGGTCAGGCTCGTCATCAAAACTGTTTCACTCTGCCTGGTTTAAAACTCAGAGGATTAGTGAGAGAAACTGTTTCACTGGGTGATGTGTTTTGTCATTGCCATGAAAGAAGCTTGTCGAGGCTTTTCTCACATTAGAAATGCAGAACAGCTTGGCCTGGACAAAAGGATAATATATACAGAGGCTCTAAAAGGAAAAGGCAAACTCAGCTCCTTCACCCACACAGACGAGTATAAATGTACACATGAAGCCACCCTCGCGCAGTCAAGTAAGTGAACAACGCCACGCACACACCACTGCACTATTGTGCACTTGAGCGGCTTGGTGCTCTACTCAGAGAGACAATGGAAGGACTTGACTTGACACTTCAAAGCATATTGCTGCTGTCAACTCAGCTGTCATTCTCAGTCGACGAGGGCTCTACTGAGTCAGGGCGAGTTTTTCGGGGAGGTTAAGGGTGGCTGTGGGGGGTCAGTGGGTTTGATTTGACAGAGTTGGATAAAAACAACGACTCCTCTGTGTGCCTGTGGCCTTCTTTTCCTGGTCACAGCGCCATGCTGAAAGGCCCTAAGTGGAGAGGCCAGGCCAGGCCAGGACAGTGCCCTGCTTCATTGTCAGGGACAGTTAAACTCTGGAGATGTTGCTCAAAACAGGTCAGTCTGGGGTCACTGTATGGACTGATGGGATATGAGAAAGCCATGCTGGGGGGCACAAAGGGCTGAGTGAGACAAGGAGAGTGTCTGCTGCCAAATGCAGTACCACACTGGGGCTGTTGCTGTAGATACAAACCATTTCATCCCTTCCAAAGCCATACCTCTTAGCTCTTAGC